TGGGAAGGGTTTAATTTAAAACTATCTAGGAGCTAGCATAGATGCATGACTGCCAGCCTCAAATGTGACCGTGGGAACAGAGGAGCTGCTGAAGCTAGTTGAGATTATGATCTGCTTAGCAAGAATGGGCATGCACAGAGAACCAGAGTACCAATCAAAACAAAACTGGTGCCTAGGATACAGAAAACATTCAGAACCATCTCAAAGTCAATCAAAACAAATGCCAGTGCTCAGGAAATTCAGGAATAAAGAACAACAAAAAGAACTAGTCATTATGAAGAGTCATTTACTAAAAACAGTCCATACAGAAGCACAAAAACAAACAAACAAACAAACAAACACTGTGAGCAAGATTTTGTGTGGAATTTACACTACAGTATATTTTCCCACTATAAGACAGTCTGGGAGTTTTGTCACCTATACTAACAATAGGATCTAAATGTGATTGTGTTTGAGAGCCTTAGGGGGCATTTTGGAAATTTGTGTATTTTTGGTAATACCAGTGTTGGGAGAAGGTGCTATCTACTGGCATTTAGTGGGTATAGACCAGGTAATTCTGACAGATTGGAATATGTACATACGTATGTATTTTACAGTGTTGGCTATCAAACACAGGGCCTTACGCAGCTGAATGCAGCTACTTCAAAAACAGTAAAACAGGTCACAAATATAACAGGATATTTGAGACTCCTTATAATAGTTAGAAACACTAAATTGACAGAGGCACATGAAATTTAGAAATCTCAGTGGATTTCATTAACAAAGACTGTTTACTTTATATTTCCATCCTGTATCCTTAAAGCAATTCTTTCTTTTTAATTTTAATTTTATTTTTTTAACCACGAGAAATGAGACTTCCTCATTTGGGAATCTCTGTTATTGTCCCATGTCATTCTGATGTTTCCTCACAACTCCCTCAGAGCCTGCTGGATTCCTCCTTTTCCAATTTATCCTCTGCCATTGCCTATTAAAAGGTGTGGTCTCCAGGATTGATTTTGCTTTGTTTTAAAGTATTAGAGATGGAATTTATGCCTTATGTGGTGAGATTTCAAGGTAGAAAATGTTTTCTATAATCCTTTGTCGTCAAAGTATGACATTCCACAGCACAACAGGAAATTCCATTTTTTGGAGGGGGGGCGGGTACTGGGGACTGAACTAAGTGGTGCTTTACCACTGAGCTACATCCCCAGTCCTTTTTAATTTTAATTTTGAAATGGTCTTATTAAGTTGCTGAGGGTCTCGCTAAATTGCTGAGTTTGGCCTCAAATTTGCCTCCTGCCTCGGCCTCCCAAGTAATTGGGATTACAGGCAGCACCACACATTCAGCTAGAAAATTCTTTTTTTTTTTTTCAATTTTTTTTTTTGGTTGTAGATGGACACAATATCTTTATTTTTATTTGTTTATTTTTATGTGGTGCTGAGGATTGAACCGAGGGCCTTACAGGTGCAAGGCAAGTACTCTACCACTGAGCTACAACCCCAGCCCCAGCTAGAAAATTCTTAAAAAACAAAACCTGGCTCATTTATGAGAAGATCACATGTTCCTGATTTTCATACCTGAATTTCTCATATCCATAAACTTCCAAATTTTATTTACCTTAAAAGTATATAACAACCAGTGCATGCCTGCAATTCCAGCAACTCAGGAGCCTGAGGCAGGAGGATTGCAAGTTCGAGGCCAGCCTCAGCAACTCAGTGAGGCCCTAAGCAATTTAGTGGAGACTATGTCTCAAAATAAAAAATAAAAAGGGCTGGAGATGTAGCTTATTGGTAAAGCCCCTGGGTTCAATCCCCACTACCCTCCTCCCCCAAAGTATTTAACATGTTTTTCCAGGTTTTCTCATGTTAAAGGTATTTCCTTCTTTGGCTTATCATATTCAATCTTGTCTGTATTACTTCTCCTAATGTGATTTTTAAAAAACCTAGTGTTCACCTCCACCTCTATTCTTTTAACTATCTACACTTTTGTATTGTGTATATCTCTTAAATTTGAATTTATATTCTCATTATTAGTGTTTCTGCAAATGGAAGGAATATAATGGAATTGGGAGCTTTGGGGAGTTTGGGGTCATAGTGGGAATGCAACTGACAGCTGACAAGGGATACATAAAAGGACAGTCAGCGGAAATCAAAGCATGAATTTGTACTGGACACAGTCACCTGGTTTTAGATTCTCCAGCACAATTCAGGCAGCTCAGAAGTGGAGATACAAAAATGGAGGAACCCTGGCTGATGACAGGCATGGCAAACAGCCACAACATTCCTCTGCTTATAATCCTTCAAAAGCTTTCTGTTCTTTAACCTGACTTTCCGCTATCTGGCACTACCTGTTTCTCTGGCTTCCTTGTGTAACACCCTTTCCTTGGTTTCAAAGCCCTGTCATACTATTTGTCATCTCTTAGCCTTTTTCCTCACCCTTTGCTTCAGCTTAAAAATTCTTTCCTCAAAGAAGCCTTCTCTGACTTTCAAGTCCAACACTCCTCAATAGTCACTCACCGTATACTTTACTTGTCTTTCATTGGACCTCTCATTATTACATATTTATTTGTATGAATACCCTTTCCTGACATGGACATAGCTTGTTGAGGCAGCACTTGGTCTATTTTATTCTTTGCTGAATTCCAAGCACCCAGTCTAGTGCCTGTCACTAAGAGGAACAGGTATTCAATAAGTTTATTGAATGAATGAAAGAAAGAAGGACTTAGCTATAGGACTTTGGGCAAGTTTTTGTTTGTTGGGTTGTATGTTTTAAGCAGATCTCCATTTCCTCATCTGTTAAATCAAGATAATCATAACTACTAAATCTCAGAATTGTTGTGGGGACTAAAAAAGACAATCCAGGTAATATGCTTAGCATGGTGCTTGGTACATGGTAAGGGATAGGAAATGTTAGTTGTTATGGTAATAATTAAAAATAAGCTCTAGGAACAACTGAAACTCTTAAACATTGCTGACAGGAATGTGAAAATAATACAGCCAATTTGGAAATTAGTTTACTACTTTCTTATAGAGTGGACTACCATGCAATCTAGCAATCCCACTTCTAGGTACATACCCAAGTGAAATGAAAGCATATGTTTATACAAAAAAAATCTCGACATAAATGTTTATAGTAGCTTTATTCATAATTGCACTAAACTGGAAACAACCCAAATATTTTTAAACAGAGAGTGGATAAAAAAATTGTGATATATCCATACAATGAAATACCACTCATCAAAAAAAAAAAGAAATAAACTACTGATACATGTAAAAACATGGATGAATTCCAAATGTATTATGCTAAGCAAAAGAAGCCAAACTTAAAATGTGACATATTTTATGATTCTGTTTGTATGGAATTTATATGACATTCTGGAAAAGCCATTTCTCTAGGGACAAAAATAAGCTAATTTATTAACCAAGAATGAGGAAATTAAGGGGAATGATGGAAATGTCCTAGGACTGGATTGTAGTTGTGGTTAAATGACTACATGCATTTACTAAAACTCCTGGCATTGCAACATAAACGGATGAATTTTACTGTATGTAAATTATATCTTAATTTTATGGAAAAATATCCAGGACAAGTAGTTAAAATTGCCTTTTCCTTTTATAAAACAGTAATTATATTTTCTGATTACAAAAATACTAGAAGCTGGGCATGGTTGCGTATACCTATAATCCCAGTGCCTCAGGAGGCTGAGGCAAGAGGATCACAAGTTCAAAGCCAGCTTTAGAAACTTTGTGAGACACTGTCTCAAAATAAAAAATAAAAAGAGCTGGGGCTCAGTGGTTAAGTGTCCCTGGGTTCAATCCCTGGTACCAATAAGCAAATAAATAAGTACTATAGTTTCATTTGGAAAAATGCAAAAAAATAATATATCCTTGTTATTATAGCCACAAAATACACACACACACATACACTGGTTCCATACAGTTTTTGCTTTCTGAAATACCTATTTTGCTTAGTTTGAAAAACACTGTGCATATTTCCCCATGTCATTGATTATGAAAACCATGATTTTATGTTTTATTGCATAGTTAATTTATATCTAAGCATTCCTTTGTTGTTAAGAATTATATTGCTTATATAATTATTTGTCATATTGAAAATAAGAGGGGATAAGGAATTATATTGTTTTCATTTTTTTTTACTATAAGCAATTTTCATTAAAAAAAAAAAAATCTCAGTGGGACCAGGGACTATTCCACAATGTTCAACTGGTAAAACAACCTTTACTTTGGCTGCAATTCTTCACTGTTTAAGTGTGTGCAGAAAAAGTGGTTCCAAAGAGTGATCTGGCTTCTTTATCCTTTCTGGGGCACAGGGGCTAGACACCCTAATATTTCCTGTATTGCTAGTTTAATTTCATAGCTCTTTTAATATTTAATGTTCACCCCATTTAGTGCAAGATAAGCAGGGCAGATGGAAATTTGTTCAAGATCACATAGATATCTGAGATATTCCGTGTCCTGGAAAGTAAACATTTCTCAGGTCTTCTATCTATGTTTACCCCGACCCCAAACCCCATAAAGGAAGGGAGCTTCACTATTTCCCAGAAAACTGTCTAGTGGCCCTACACACGGGGAACTTATCTCTACTAAGTGAACGCGCTATTCCATCCTATCAATGTCTTTGGCAACATCGCCACTTACCAGCTGGGGTCATTTCATCCCCGATGGCAGGTGTCCCTACTGCCACTGACCAAGGGGGCTCATGGAGTGAAAGGGCTTCGCGGCCCGCTGGGGTTGCTGTCCGGAGGTCACAACACAGCTGCCACTCACTGAGGCGTCCGCCTCGGAGGCAAGGCTGTCCCCCACACCGGGGTCCTCAGAGCGAGGACGCGCCTTGGGTGAAGTGACGAGTGCCCCCATCTTAAGGACCCGCCGAGGGCAAGCCCGGGCTGCGCGGCTAACGAGCTGTCCTGGCTGACTCCGGAGAGGTGACAGGAAAGCCTCCAGAGGTCAGTCCTCCGCTATCCCAGAGTGCCTTGGATCCCGGAAGTGCCCGGCTTCCCGGAAGTGCCGGCTGGCTGACAGAGCAGTGGGTGGTTAGAGCGCTGCAACTGGAGGGTTACTCTTCTGGGACCTGGGCGTCCGCTAGAGGTCTGAGGGGGGTTGGGGACGGGGTTCAGAAGGGTGCTGAGAGGCGGAATGATGGAGGAAGAGGAACTGGAGTTCGTGGAGGAACTGGAAGCCGTGCTGCAGCTCACGCCTGAGGTGCAGCTAGCCATCGAGCAGGTGAGCGTCCCGCCCCCTCGCGAGCGGAGTGTGGGAGGTGCCGCAGTTTTGGAAGGTGGGAATTGAGCGGGTATGGTGGGGCGCGAGGAGGCTGGATTGAAAGGTGGGCGTGGACAGGGGAAGCAGAGGTGGCCGCGGGTTTCTGAATCAGGGGAAGGGAAGCGTCCTCTGTAGGCCTTGATTGTCTTTGGAGGCTGGGCGTCTTGGTGGGTTTGGGTAAAAGAACTGTGCCCCCTGAAGGATGTACCTAGAAAAAGGGACTCTGTGAGTGCAACCTCAGATTCTGGGGGTTATTTTGCTTCATTCATGTACCAGGGTAGTGCAGACCCTCTCACTTGTCACTAGCCTCTAGAGGAGCTCAGAATTGGGACCAAAAAACGAGTCCAAAAATGACCCTTTGCTTTCCCTAAAAGGTTGAAAATTCCTGCAGTTTGGATTACATTGGGGGATACTCCCAGGAGGCTTCTTTGCAGCAACTCTTTAGTTGACTAAATTCTCTTTTCAAGGTTATTAAAATTTTATGAGTGATGATATTAGAAGTAGTGATTTAGGCCTTTGTACAGGATTTCTCTCCTATAAAGGGAGAAAACCTCCCTTAAAGGAATTGTCATGGAGGTATTTATTATTTAAGAAGGGTTATGCCTCATTTAACAACTACTGGGAAGTTTTTCTAAGTAAAACATTACTTCTACTAATAATTAACATTGACCATTCATACCATGGATCCACCATTGTATTAAATAATGTTTTTGTATTGTTCCATTTATAGACTTTTGGGTGTGTGTTTATCTAGGAGTGCATGGATTGCTCATGCCAACCACATTTGGTACATCCTGATGATACCAGACCATTGGACAAAACTTTTTTCTGTTCAGGCCACAGTGCTCCACCATCCAGCTCTTTTTCTTAGTAGATGACATACATTTCAGTTGCTCTTGGATTTGTTGGGCTCTAATGAATGAAGCAGAATACAATCAGTTGTTGTTTGACCGGAGTTTCAGAAGATCATATTTTTGTTATTTTAAAAGAATATGTTTGAATTTTAGTTTATCTATTAAGCAGACATCTTGATGTTAAGATGAATTTAGGATTTTTTTCTTACTTTAGTGGTCTGAAGTTTTGAGTAAAATTTTGCAAACAATTATGCAATAGCATACTTTTAAAAAATATACCTTTATTTTATTTATTTATGTTTATGTGATGCTGAGGATCGAACCCAGGTTCTCACACGTGCTAGGCAAGCACTGTACCACTGAGCCACAACCCCAGCCCAACAATAGCATACTTTTAAAGTGTAGTGATACATGAGAAGTTAGGAAGGGTTGATGATGGAATCCCACTTTACCCAGGTATTAAGCTCCAAAGTCATGCATAAAGTGAAAATTCACATATCCACATGTTATCCTTGCAATTCCTTAAGTTGTCCTTGAAGTAAAATGTATAAGCATCTCTTCAATAAGTCTAGTGTTGTTAGTTTACTTCTTCAGCATTGGAGCCAATCTCTTATTTGCTGTTATCACTGGATGAAAAAGTTGACTTGGTTTAAGAGCTTTGTTATATGAAAACACATTAAAACCAAGGATAACAACCAGGAACAGTGAGAGGAATGCAGAGACTGAGGCCACTTGAGGAAATATCATTCTCATAATGGGGCATACACTCATGGCAGGCCTAGTTCCCCACACTCCCTCTGGTAAGGGTATATAATTGAGGTTGTATAAATCGTGCATACGATATATCTCTGCCATAAATGTATATTAGAGAAATGGAAATGTTAAGCATTTAAATTTTTTTTTGTACTGACAATTGAATCGAGGGGCACTTCACCACTGAGATATGCCCTTAGCCCTTTTTCTTTTTTATTTTGAGATAGGGTCTTTTAGGTTGCCTGGGTTGACCTCCAACTTGTGATCCTTCTGCCTCAGCCTCCTGAGTTGCTTGGATTACTGATGTGGGCCACTGTGCTCTACAATGTTAAAAACATTGTAGAATCAATCTCTCTCTCTCTTTTTTTTTTCCCTGTCATCTGCCTCACCTCTGCTTCTATTTTAATTTAAAAAAAATATATATATATATATATGGAAAGCTTCTTCTCTGAAGAAGTTGCTTCCCAGCATTAAAACTGTCTTGAACTGGTAAAAATCCAGTAAGCAGGAGATCATTTGACTCCTTTTATAATTCCCCTTGTTACATGTTACTCAATTTGTGACTTTTGAGAGGAGTTAGCTGTATTTCTCAGATGGTTTCTTGCTTTCTTTTATGAACCTGGCAGTCCTTAACACTGAAGCATAAAAATTGGACAGGGAGAGTAGCTCAGTGGTAGAGTGCTTGCCTAGCATGGGTGAGGCTCTGGGTTCATTCCCCAGCAACACACACACTCAGAGATTGCTTCAATGCATAGTGAATTCTGCTGTAGAGACATGATTGAGACATGGAACCTAAGTCTATTATTAAGGATTTCTTAATAATAACCATGTCATCAGCTGGTTTACTAATGCTTGCTGAGTTGACATTTCATTTGATATCTGTGGAACTTTTCACATTTGCATATTGTGTTCATTATTTCAAGATGTTAAACTACAGTTGTTGAAAATTAAAGGATATATATATTTTAGTTGTGGATAGACCTTTTATATGCAGTGCTGAGAATCGAACCCAGTGCCTCACACATGCCACAAATGTGCTACATTTATTTAATATACATTGTATTACATGTCATTTCCTTTTTTAAAAAAAATATTTCAGTTGGAGATGGACATAACAACTTTTTTTTTTTAATGTGGTGCTGAGAATCGAACTCAGTGCCTCACACATGCAAGGCAAGTGCTCTGCCACTAAGCCACAACCCCCAGCCCTATTTCCTTAATAGATAATTTATTGAGTATTTGTTGCATGTAAAGCATTTTAAAATGAAAAAGTTTTTTTTTCCTTTTATCTCTAGAGAATTTACCAATTAATAGGAAAGAAAGAATATATAAAACAAGGTAGAAAGATAACAGTTATTTTTAAACCCCTCTATCTTGGAATGTATTTTCTTTTTAATTGACAAATGTTGTATGTATTTATGGTGTCCAATATGATGTTTTAATATATAACCTCCTGTTTTTATATAGGTGTTTCCAAGCCAGGATCCTTTAGATCGAGCAGATTTCAATGCTGTTGAATATATCAATACCCTGTTCCCAACGGAACAAGTAAGTATAGAGTTTTAGGTTTCCTTCATTTCAATGGTTCCTGGCTCATCTGGAGGATTGTGATTGGTCTGTTATACCATGTAATCTCAGGGCCCTTAATAAACAAATGAGAGTTAAATTCAAATTGAATTCTTCTGTGACCAATTGTGTTAGAGTAGAATTCATTGTTTAGAAGCATATTATTAGAAATTGTACCCTTTGGTTGTAAGGACAACCCCCCCCCCTTTTCCTAGTTCAATTTTGTGTTGTATTTGAATAAGTAGAAAGAATTTTTATAACATGGTAGGGAAAAGTAGCAGTGAGGCAGGCAGGATAAGCCCTGAGTCATAAAGCAGCTTTCACTCCTATTTCAAAATGTAAATTTTTACACTTTCTGTTTTATGTTGTTTTGTTGGCTGATTTGCCTAGGTGGCTGGGTTTTTCTTACAATAGACAAGAATTAGAAGCAGCAGAGTTGGTAGAAGAGCAGCTGGAGTTTTTCTTAAGTTTTCACTTATTCATTCTGCAGCTATTCAGTAGTCACCTGTCATGTGTTATTGAATAAAATACAAAGATGAATAAAACCCAGTCCCTGCCCTTGAGGTGTGCATGATTAAGTAGGGGGAGACAATGTTGAATGCTGTAAGAGGTATGGAGGGAAAGCATAATTCTTCCTAGGGAAATTAAA